TGATGGGGGGTGCATATGAATCGATGAGTCAGTTGACTCACCAAAACTGGATCCAACATCTATTTTATAAATGGATTTTGGGTACGAGATTTTATACATCACAAAAAGAAAATAGATTTTTAAATTTTAAATTGAATTATTTAAAGTTTTTCTTTTGGACCTTTCATCACAATTTATGTCAGGAAAATTCATCTATCATTTATATTTTGTTGAATTTTAAAATATCCTCAATATTTAAATTTTTATGTTCAAGTCCCTTTGTTTGAGCATGTATCATATTTTAATGTTAATTTCTTTTTGCATATATTGGATTAAGCTCAAATTTTTTCGTTGTCCGTACTTCTCATCATTATGCACCTGTAAAAAATACAAAAATGTTAGTTTTAAATAAATAAATAAAATACTTTTGCAGGCCATTTTATTTCTATTGAATTACTTGTTATATTTTTTACCGATGCAATAGTGAGAAGTACAAATATACAAAATATGAAATCTACCGAAATATATATTAAGAAAAACATGTAGAATTGAAATACTTGACATATTGGTTTTTTTTTTATTTTAATTGAAGTGTTAACTTCAAGAATGGAGCCTAAGTCGTTTAGAAAGTGGGATACAACATAAAATATATTGAAGACAGTTTTAAAATTCCAAAAATATAAGAAAACAATTACTTAAATTTTTCTTTACTTTATGGATCATCAAATACAAAAAAATTGATCCAAAGCCTCTTGGGTTATGTTCCATGCTCTAAATCCACATCTAGGTTTTTGAATGTTTAGCGGAAGCCATTTGAGTGGCAGATTCTTAATTTGGACCATGAAAAAGGTCATATAAGGTGTCAACATGATACTGTACAAGTAAGGTATACCTAAAAACACATTAAAGAAGGTTGTTTTTATTCTGGAAAACTTCAAATCGATCATCTCGACTTTGAGATTCATAGACATGAAAAGAAAAGAGGATTTGTAGTCCTAATATAGTTAATCTTCTATAAAAAAAAACATGGGGACCACTGCGATTACACAATAATTTTTCGCACCATATATTTGTGAACCCCACACTTAAAATCTCATTAGTACCTACCCCATTTTTAAATACACCATAGTGAGAGAGAGAAAGAGAGAGGATAGAGCATGATTCTCTCTCCTTTTTTTTTCCCTTGGGCAGTACTGGTTACATGAGCTCACTTTTAGAGGGATCTCTCTTTACATGTGCTCTGCTTCACACTGAGAAAGGAGCAAACAAGGTTGTCAAGTCAGTATTTTTAGAGGGAGAAAGGAAAAGAAGAGGGCTAGAAATGGTGCATTGTCTCTCTCTTTCTCATCTGTTAATCTTAGACACTTAACTGGAGAAAGAGCAAAATGGCCGAGTTGGTGGAAGGAGAGCAAAATAAGATTTTTTTTAAGTTTTGGGGTCTGAATTCTTAAGATCGAAGAGATTAGAAAAATCCACTGTTTGCTGATCTCAATGACTAGGATATAAAAATCAAGAAAATTAAAACCTTGCAAGTCTATATTGTTTTTCCAAGATTTCATTTCCACTCGAAAACTTGTTTTTTTTAATTTCCATGTTTCAAAGTCCAGTGGTTGTTTTATATGCATATGGGTGATGTATGGATTCATGAAAGTTATAATATATATATATATATATATATAATGGGTCATGTGGATGACGTCTCAACCCTCCTAATGACCAAAAATATCCTTATTAAAAAAATACTCAATGTATAAAATAAGGGTATAGAAGTGTCCGAAATTTGTTGAGTACAATAGTAAATTACTCCATAATATGAGAACCCTAACATAACCCTATATATATTTATAGATATATAGAAGCATCTATTCAACGCCTATCGCCGAAAATGAATAGTATTTTCACCCATAGGCTTAACACCGTCCAAAAAAAACAGGCGGCGGGCGTTTTTCAACCACCACAAACCTAGTATGTTTGTGGCAGTACCATCACTGATATGCTAGGTCCGTAACAATAAAAAAAATATGCGGAACCGCAACGAACAGCACACCGTCTGTTGTGGATCCGTTCAATGACCCACCATGGACATAGCAAGTCTGTAACAGTGGCAAAACACTATAGCACTTCACCTATAATAATTTTTTAGGTTTTTCCTATATATATATATATATATATATATCTATATATGTATATATTATGGTATGGATAGTCTGGATAGTCACACCCTATTGATCATGACCATTTTTGGATTGTTTCTGATTATTTTGGCTTGTCGGGGCCATGCCAAATTATATTTTATTGAGTAATTATGCATTGTTAAATAACTGTATTTTATAAAATATTTATTTTTAATAAGCACCATATTTTTTAGATAAGCATGTTTTTGCTAATTAACTATACTTTAATAAATATTTATATTTTAGTAAATATTTCTTTTTGTAAATTAATCATGGAATTTTAAATAAATGTCATATTATTAAATAATATTATTTTATTAAATCAACCCACTTTTTAAATATTCATATTTTAAAAATAATGATTTATTAAATAGAATTGTTTCAATTAATATTTTTGTTTTTTCTTAAAATCTCATGTATTATTAAATGGGAAAGGTTTTTATACTTCCCCTACTGCATAGAAGATCTATGCTTTCCCTACCAGCCAGGTATTCAATTTTGATCAAGAGCGCCACTCACCATTTGATCTTGGATCCGATGTCTCAAAGTATTTTATTTTTAGGTTTTTTATACAAATTGTATGAATATGAAATTTGGTACGTGCCATCTTCTCATTGGGACGCACCTATAAAAAATATAAAAAATAATTTTTCGATAAAATATAATGACCAAAATACCTATAAAAAATATTTGTTTTATATTTTTCTTTAGTGCGAGTTTAATAGAGGATTGAACGTCCAAAATTTGATGTCAAAATAGTTTATAGAAAAAAAATTAAAAATAAAATAGTGTAGAGACGTGACACTGTGATTGGAGTAATCTTAGCCCTCCATTTAGAATGGACGGTTGGATAAGGGGAAGTATATAAGTTTTATGTTGTAGGGGAAGCATAGCTTGCCCTTATTAAATAATTGTAGTAGTTTGCCAATTTTATTGTTGTATACCAATTATTTGATTAAGAATCATGTTCCATGAAATTACTAAATGTAACTATTGTATACTAATTGAGTAATGATCTTATGAGACCCTCCCACACCCATGTGTATAGGACCTCAAAAGATCACCATTAAATTTGGCATAAATCTCTAGAAAAGTTATTATATAGATATGGGATTTAACTTTTTTAGATATTTGTACCAAATTTAAATGTAATCTTTTGAAGTCCTACACACATGGATGTGGGAGGGTCTCACAAGGTCATTTCCCACTCTAATTATTTAATTAATGATCACGTTTGATGAAATTATTAATTTTTGTTCACCTTTTTTTAAAAAATAGTACAACTTGAAAAATCCATACAAAACAATAGACATGAAATAATTGTAAGGAATCTATTAATTTTCTAGTGTATATCCAAATATGAGATTTGAGGAATTGGGGATAAAAACCCTTGATGTAGAAAATCTAATAGATTTTTTATGTATTTCACATATCCAAAATTCCTAATTTCCTCCTACTCAAAAACGCGTCAAAAGATTCATATGTGAACATTTTTCTTTGGTAAAAAGAAAATATAATGATTTGAGTTTGGACATTGGATTGTGAAACTCAAAGCATTTATCATCCAGTTTGTGGACCATATTTTTTACAAAAAAAAAGAAGAAAAGAATAGTGATTTGAGTTTGGATGCCGAAACTCAAAAAAATTGCCTTTCATTTTGTAACGTCTTACTGTGGCAAAATATGAATACATTTTTTTATAGAAAAACTAGGTTCGAGTGTAGAATAATATAAATTAATTTTTATTTTTTAAAAGTTATTTTGAACTAAACAAAAAATATAAATTATATTTTAACTCCAAAATCTAAAAGAAACAATTTTTTTATATAAAGCGGGGCCTAAACAACCAAATTAAGGCGCAAGTAAAAAATTTCACTAGAAGAGGTTATTCTGATGTTAAAAAATCCTCAAATTGATCACCGCAACCTCAAGATCAATAGACATGAGAAAAATAGATTTCAATTCTTGAAAATAGTGCATCTTTTAATACATTTTCACACTATCAATTTTTTTAAATTTTCAAACGTTCATTGATCTGCTCTATCTACAATATTTTGCTCTATCTACAATATTTTTTATACTTTAAATTTTATAATTAAAGATGAAAATAAACTTTCAATCCACCACAAAAATTTCCAATGTTGAAACAACATCTTTCGACACTCTACGAAAGTGCGCCGTACTTTGATTGTTTAGGACCTCAGCCTCATACAATCACACCCATAAAAGAGCCTTCTACAAATCACACCCATAAAAGAAACCAGGGACCGAAGGAAAGTTGTTTCATGCATGTGGGACGGTATTTCTACATCTACGGTTCAAAAAATATACAGCATCTATCTTAAAAATGGATGCAAGTAGGTATTCTATCTAGAAACAATAGAAATTAATGGTCAAAATGTTTTCTTATTAGAATTATTTTTTTAAGTTTTAAAAATTTATTTATTTATTTTATATTTATGATCTCCATGTTAGAGATTACATTTTTAAAAAAAATTGAGGCTTAAAATCCATCTCAAAAATAAATTTATTAAGGGGACCTCATTTCTACGTATACGGTTTTGGCAGCTAAAAAACAGGGTCCGAAACCAAAATTCCTTGAAAAAGAAAATCTGATTTGTCTCTCTTCGAGCCTCGTACGAGGCAAGATGGAATCTTTTGGGTGCTCTAAATTTTACGACAATGGCCTCGATAAATGGAAACCGAAATTTCGTCAAATATTTCGGCACCACCTATATTTCGTCATCTACGTCCAATTGTTCAGTCGCTCTGGTCCCACCCTTTCTTCCTCGAGTCAGTCAGCTTGGTCGACTCGCTCTTCCTATAAATAAGAGCACTGAGTGCGAGGCTTCCCCCTCTCAATTGTAAGCCACGCCTCTCTCCTTTGCTGGTTCAGAATATGAGAAGAAACCCTTGCCATTAAACTTTTGTGATGTACTGCAGATTCTGAACCAGAACTCCGCGAGAAACCCTACTTTGTAACGAAAGCCCTATCCTTCATTTCTTTATTTCACCATTAAAGACCATTTTTTTCTTTCCTTGGTTCTGAACCTGCTAAAACCCTAGCCTTTAACGATATAATTTGTTGTTGATTTTACCTGTATTGGTGAAAACCCCAATTTTTTTAGGAAAGCCTTCAGCTTTTTGGGTCGTATAACCTCCATTACGCCAACAAACCACGAAACCTTGGCGTTCCTTGCGTTTTGTTCTTGATCCCTGATTTTGAGGCATTTTCCTCTGAATATTGGCTGAAAAAGTCTCGCATCTGAAGCTTTTCGGTCAAATATCAGGGTTTTTGTGGCTACATATTGTGTATTTCTCAAGTAAGGCTCTCGAATATCAGTACCTCCTTTTTAATCCATCAGAAAAACACTTAACTTCATAGGATACAAAACCATTTTTCCTACAACTCCTCTTCTCCCCAAAATTTCATTCACAAATTCTCAGTAAACTTAAAATTTTGGTGAAGAACACAAACAGTATATAGCAAAAAAAAAAAAACAACAACTAAGATTTAAGATTTTACCGGAGTCTGCGACATTACCTTCATCTTTTCCTTTCTCTTCATTTTGCTCTAAAAATTTCTACATCTTTTGGATTCTAGCCTATATCCTAGATTTTCTGCTTTCTAGCTTAGTGACTGGGCATGACCTTAAAAGTCGGACATGAAAACTGATTTCTAGGTCCTTCCTCGAATTTGTAGGCCTTCTTTATAGGATCTTTTACATCTGGAAAGAAGAAATGGTAGGAAGCGTGGAGACCGTCTCAGATGTAGTGAATGGAATCGTGAAGGAGTATATGGCTGAGAACGTTGAGCCTTTACCAGAGGAGTTAAATCCCAAGAAAATTAAGGTGCCTTTGCATCTGAAAAATGAAGATGGTGCAGACAATGGTGAGAACAGTACTTTAGTTTCAGGTAAAAGGGAGATTGTTCTCGGAAGGAATGTGCACACGAGTTGCCTTGAAGTTACAGAACCTGATGCTGATGATGAGGTTACAGGAGACAGGGAGGCTTGTATGGCCAGCATTTTGGCGAGGTATCGGAAGTCTCTCATCGAGAGGACCAGACACCATCTGGGTATGAGTTTCTCAATTCTGTCTTCTCTCAATCAAATATGGATTAAATAGATAATCAAATCCTTTGGTTTAGAAATTAGTGTTTTTAACTTTTAACCGGTAGAATGTCTATGCTTTGGTTTATGATATCGTCCATGGGTTTCTCTTGATAATGGTTTTGTGCTACTCTTGTTCTTCATTTCAATTTCTTTAATTTGCTAAAGTAATTTTGGGCTTTTTGGATGTACTCATTGTCACTGACAATTCACTCAAAAAATTAGTCCTGAAATGAATTATATGTTTTTGACTGTGTTCCTCATAAAATTACCTGAGATAAACTTGCTGGCAGTTTTACATATGCATTAACCTTTCTGAAAGGTTTTTCACTTTATTCAAAGTAAATTGATCAAATTCATATGTTTTTAACCAGAAAAACTAAAAATAGCTGGAAATTAATACGTTGTAATACAAGATATGTACCAAGCAGCTAACAAATTAATATGATGCAGATTATACAGATGAAAAAGATAATCTACTCCTGGTAAGATTAACTGTCATCCAAACAGGCCCTCAGTTTGGGAAGAGATTGAATTGTTGCATTTAGGGAAGCCCTCTCCCTTTAATGGGCTTTTTCATTCTTAAGTTGCAGTCTTAAGTTCATTTAAATTTTACTCTGGCTTATCGTCCATACCTATCAAATTAATATCATGCAGATTATACAGATAATAAAGATAATCTACACCTGGTAAGATTTCCAAACAGGTCCTCAGTTTGGGAAGAGTGGGCGTTTTCATTCTTAAGTTGCAGTCTTAAGTTCCTTTAAATTTTATTCTGGCTTATCGTCCCTACCTATCAATTATCGAATCAATCAACTCAACCAGACATATCAAATATCAAGCCAAAATGAATATGCATTTGTTGGAGGCTCAAATGTTGTCTGGTTTGGGGGAGTAGTTCCACTCTGTTTTGGACCTTCCATGCACCAAATATATGCACAATTTGCCTTGTTACTTTGTGATTCCTAAATGTTTAAGAATTATTGATCTCATCATGTGCAAGTTTACTTAATGTGTTTACTGGCGAAATGAATATTTCAATCTTATGATTATTTTTTGACTGTGTATGAAGGATGAGTAATTGTTTTTAACCACAGGAGTATTTGCCTTTCTTTGACATTGGTTTCCGTCCTAGGTTCCTATCTTGGTTTAGGGCACCCAGTCAATATACTCTTTTATGCTTTCCCAATTGGTGATATAACTTTTATAAACCTGGATATGTTTTAGTACCTTACTACGTGTATACTGCTCATAACAGTATTGTGACCAGCATGTCTAATTTTCCTGTTTACTTTACAGCATTTCATATCTCATATTTCTTATAAGCTTCACTTGCACGAAGTCAATAACGGTGACCAGAGCTTCTTTTTCCTTTTTCTTTTTGACTGTTTTAGTGCTATCCAACTTTCTCTTATTACTTTTCTGTGCTAATGTTCTGATCAATCTTATTTCAGGTTATCCTTACAATCTGGACTTTGATTATGGTGCTCTCGCACAACTGCAACATTTCTCTATCAACAACCTGGGCGATCCATTTATTGAGAGCAACTATGGAGTTCATTCAAGACAGTTTGAAGTCGGGGTTCTCGATTGGTTCGCTCGTCTCTGGGAATTGGAGAGGAACGAATACTGGGGTTACATAACAAATTGTGGAACAGAGGGCAATTTGCATGGCATTTTAGTTGGGTAAGTAAGCAATAAACTTTTCATTCTATGGTTTGTTTAATTTAACTTTTCATTCTATTGTTTGTTTAATTTTAGTGTTTGTCTTCGTTACTGTATTAACCCTGTTAATCTTGGCTCAGTTATTTGGTAGTCTTCCCGAGACTGGGAACATTGTTTTTTTTTTTTGGCACTATTTTCTAGGAAGAACTGAATCCCTATTTACTCCTTTTGCAGGAGGGAAGTTTTTCCTGATGGAATTCTCTATGCCTCGAAGGAATCCCATTATTCTGTTTTCAAAGCTGCACGAATGTACCGAATGGATTGTGTTATGGTCAATACTCTGGTCTCTGGTGAGATTGACTGTACCGATTTTCGAGCTAAACTCCTTCAGAACAAGGACAAGCCAGCCATCATCAACGTTAATATTGGTGATTCCTCAGAATTTTAATCAGGGAATTTCCATATTTTTTTATTGCCAGAAAGCTCATTTTCACTATGTTTTCTGAATTGTGCAGGTACAACTGTCAAGGGAGCTGTTGATGATCTGGATTTGGTCATTAAGATCCTTGAAGACACTGGATTTAACCATGACCGGTTCTACATTCACTGTGATGGTGCCCTGTTTGGGCTCATGATGCCTTTCGTGAAACGGGTATGCTTCGACACGTGTATAGATACTCGTGTATCACATTTCATGCTTTCATGCGGCTGAGGCCCACAAAATAAGGCACATGTACACAGCGTTTCAAGCTTGTCCACACTGTGATGTTAAATCAAGGATTAGCCATCTATCCAAGTCGTGCTCCAAAACGTTCTCAAACTTGCACTTTTATAGTTTTGCATGCATACTCGCGCATGCATGCATACAATGTTGATGATGGAGGAGAATAGGACTATTTGGTGTCATGTCCTGTTCTATCGGGTCCCACTCCTCCATCACCATCCTTCTTGTCTTTGGATGGTGATTACACCAATGGACTAATCTCATTGAATGTGTAATGCTTAAGTTAAGCAGGAGTACGTCTCAGATTTTAATTATATGTTGTAATTCAATAATTGTATCGCCAATCTTTCAAGTATGAAATCTGGTTTATTAAAGATTCTTTTGATTTTAAAATTAGAGTTAAATTAGGAGGAAATTAAATTACAACATGCACCCTCCTGCATTTGAAATAACCTACTGACAAGGTAATTATTAGGCAGTTTAGGGCAAAAAATGGCAAAATTTTTTGGAAGAGATATTTTTTGTGTTAAAAAACAAAAACATTATTAAGGTTCCCTATTACGATGGTGCATCCTATAAAACACCCTTTATCCATACGCATATGCACTCATGGTAATAAGAAATGAGCTTTTGGATTTTTCTTGCTTGTAAAACTTTTGTACTGATTATCCTCAAGTAAACAGGCACCAAAAGTCAGCTTTAAGAAGCCTATCGGTAGCGTGAGCGTATCTGGGCACAAGTTTGTTGGCTGCCCTATGCCATGTGGGGTTCAAATAACCAGGCTGGACCACATCAATGCCCTCTCTAGGAACGTCGAATATCTCGCTTCTAGGGATGCCACCATCATGGGCAGCCGAAATGGTCATGCACCCATCTTTTTATGGTACACTCTCAATAGAAAGGGCTATCGTGGGTTCCAAAAAGAAGTGCAAAAATGCTTAAGAAATGCCCATTATTTGAAAGATTGCCTTAGAAGTGAAGGAATCAGTGCCATGCTCAACGAGCTGAGCAGTACAGTGGTGTTTGAAAGGCCACAAGATGAGGAATTTGTTCGAAGGTGGCAGCTGGCTTGTCAGGGGAACATTGCACATGCTGTTGTAATGCCGAATATCACCATAGAGAAGCTTGATGATTTTGTGAAAGAGTTGACTGCGAAGAGGTCAACTTGGTTCAAGGATGGGAAGGCCCAAGCTCCTTGCATTGCTGATGAAATTGGGGCTGAGAATTGTGCTTGTGCTCGTCACAACTGATGCCTGTTTCACGCCATGGCTTTCTGATTTATTTTGCTTGTTGTAATGGTGGTAGTAGTCCTAGTTGTTGTTGTAGTAAGAGACTGAAGTTCTCCTGGGGAATATGAATAGAATGTCTGTTTTATTCTCTCTGCTCTATAGTTTCCTTTTTTTTCTGTTTTTTTTTTAATTTGGTAATCTAATCTGGATTTATGTGGGAGCTGTCCTATTGTTTTCCTTCGGGATTGTGGTTATGTGGAAGGCAACAAGGCTCAACAACAATCGGGTATTTGCTCTTTGGCATGCGAACTAGTGTGGGATGCAAGGAGTTGTCTCTGCTCAGTGGCTTCCACCTGCAATTCCATTGAGTATTTTGAGAGAGACTTCAGCATTATTTTAGACAGGAAGAACAGCTCTCTTTCTCTCCCTCTTTTTCTCTCTCTCTTACTTGTATCTGCAAAGTAGTTGATGGATGAAAACAGAAATTTCAAGTCTGGCCAAGTTAATTCCTGGACACATACGAGGTCCGCCGCCAAATCCAAGAAAGCTGAAAGGTTTCAACGATTTCTGCAAAAGAAGCCACAAGTTAGTTTTATGTAGTTTTATGTAGAACACATGATTAGGGAGAGGATTATGTCACTAGTGGAAATTTACATCAAATCTGGATGGGTCAAATTTCTCGGGGTCCATAAAAAGGTTGGGATCGTGGTGCACAGAGACAACATCCAAGTTTATGGACCATCCCTTCTTGATTTCATACCCTGGAACAAGCTCAATTTTCAGTATTAGATCCATGTGAAGTTGATAGATTTGAAAATGGTAAATGATAAATTCAACTGTTAGAGAGGAAAGGAAAGGTGCATATTTGGACCATCAATTTCGAAGTCTTGGGCTGCTTTCCTTGAGTTCCATGGCAGGATTGTTGCTATCCTCAATGTTTCATTGATAACCTGTCAATTGGAAGAATACCAGGTGATGAAGTTTGTAGAATCGAAGCTAGGTAATTCACTAGCAAATCTTTTCCTTTTAGTACACTAAGGTAATGCTAAGCTTACTTTGTTGGTATAAGGCATGTTATTAACTTCGGACCAGCTGAGCTGTGGGATGCCATCCCTCCTCCTTTCCCATATTTGTTGATGCTCTTCCTGTTTTTTTTTGAGAAGATTGATACTCTTCCTGTTAGTTGCTATTATCATGCTCTTGGGTCCATGGAACCATAAACTTAAATTTGTTTAAGAAGGATTTGGGATTGGAAGCGTACTATGCTCCATGAGACTCTTATATTGGTATTCCAGGGATAGGATACATCTACCATCTGTTTGCAATCACCGATAGTTAAAGATTACAGGAGCCAGAATATTCATCTGGATACTCTTAATCTCCAACCATCCTTCGGTGGGAATAGATGGTGGATATATCCTTGCGGTATTATTATTTAACAGTGTCAGTAAAATTGTAGTATACTTGCGAATTTCCTTACCCTAACTTTTTGCAGGGCAATTGGATTTTCCTCTAGGAATTTGATCACCCAGGTAAGAGCTGCAGTTGTGGTATCATGACCTGCTATTAATAGAGTCAATATGTTGTCTTTCAACTGTGAATCTGTGAGCCTATCTTCTTCTGTTCTGGTGCTGTAGTTTGTTATCAGTGATTGTAAAAAATCATCACTGATTTTCTCTCCGGACCTCCTTTTGTGAATTATAATGTCCAACATGGAATACATACGATCCCTTGCCTGCACAAGTTGGAAATAGCAACTTATTATAAGCCCCATTCCTGCTCATCACAGGAATATGAAATGATGAGGGACCTCTTATCCTGCAAAAGAGCTAGAGCAGAAAATAGTTCATCAATAGATATCGGGAAGTTCCATTGAACTTTCCTCATGTAGGCTTGGGGCCTTATGTAAACCTCCTCAATGCTTCTTGATGGCATGCATTTGCATTTAAGATCCAAGGGATTTCATTTATTGTACTGCAGTGTTATTGTGTTTATCGTTGACTAAACATTACAAACGCCTTCCTCTCTTTGAAAATGGGTTGTGACATATCATAGAGAAGTGAAAGCCATTTCCTGAACAATACCTTGATGCCCTTGTAGAATGCAAAGCCTGGAATTTTGAGAGGCAAGGTAGCAAAAGCTGAAGATATAGTCTTAAAGTTGTTTCTGAAATTCTCTTGCTCCTCACCATGCGACTCCAAGCTCATTATGATATGCCCAATAACCTTTAGCGTGAACTGTCAGCACAAATTATCCACAGTACTCTCAAAATTAGGTAACCATTGCTATTGTTTTTGTTTGTAACCAAACTCCAAAGCTTTTTTCAAGAATCCAAAAACAAAACACAGGAGTATGGTTTTGACTTACGCTTGAAGCTTCTTCGAGGACAAATACAGTCCGTCCAGCCCATTGGTCCAGTGTATCAGAAGCTAGAGAGTCGATGAAAGGTAGATATTTCTTGAGAGCATCCAAACAGAGAGGTTCTCCTATTAGTCTACGAAGCCTTTTGTGCTCCTCACCAGTGGTTTGAAGCAAGCTAGTAGGTCCCATAACTTGCTTTCCTGTGTAGAAAAGATTCAAGCTAACTAACCCATCTTTCCCTGACAGCAAGATCTTGCTAGCTTCTCGTCCAGTCATGAAGACGGTTAGCCGCCCTAGGATGCTGGTCTTGAAAACCTTGCCGTACCTGATACAAGCCGTTGTGTTAAGCATTGTAGTCCCCAGTTGCAGAAAACAGAGAGTAATATCTCCAGATTTATGACATCACTATAAAATTATCTAAGTTCAGAAATATTTTCTTTAATTGTGATCTATTCCATTTATTTTGTTCTTTGATGACCTTAAATGGTCGATATGATCTGAATATCAATGCAAGTTGATAAGAAACTAGAAAAGATTATATGCTCCCATGGGAAGCTTGCTCCCTTTGGGAAAGACCTAGATAGGAGTACTTTTTGGACCCTAAATTTGAGCACATAACGTACTCAACCTATCTACCAATCTGAAAAAGATAAAGAAGTTGAGCGGGCAGCTTGAGACTGCCCGAAGAAAACCATGCTCCAAGATCGAACACGAGAAACATGTGAAAAGTTGCTCCAAGATTGAGCACTTGTTAATCCTATGGTGATTCTAAAGTGGATCCCAAATTGGAGATTGAAAACATCCTCCTGAGTTAGTCCTTTGCCTAACGGACAAGTGTAAATTTGCTCCTGCCGGAGCATGGCATATACCCCATAAGAAGTACATACCAATAAAAAGAATCATACTTTTAGAAAATATGTCCAAAGGGTTAGAAATCTAAGCTCTTGGAACCTTTAAAACTAAAAAGTGGGAGAGATTTCTTCTTTTTCTTAAGTTCTTTCTGATTTGTGACTTGCCTTTATCTTTTTCCTGACCTTTCTGATATACGTTAGCGACACCAAGATATTCAGAATCTCTTGGAGATCACCTCAACTGGTGATCAATTATTTTAGTTCATTGAAAGTTTTTGGATTTTTAGTTGCTGTGTAAAAGAAAATATACCTCTGTTGCCTCTTTTGGATGAAGGCATGGATACCAGATGGAGTCGAAAACTCTGCCATGAAAGACAAGCTCTCTCCTATTATGGGCCAACCTAAGGAGCCTGGTATCTTTTGGATGGCCCTCAAGGTTCGCCTTGAACTTAGCACGTATAACAATGCAGAGATGATAAATGAAAACACCATGAGGGCAAAGGAAATCAGGAGACTATGAGGATCCATGAGAACTGGTTAGGTGGTAATTGGGCAAGATTTGATGATCTAAGAAGCGTGGCCGAGACAATCTAATTTATAGTGATTTCGTGATCTTGGCCAAGTTTTTCAGCATATTCTCATTTTGTCAAATGTCTCTACAGCAGGTATCGACTCTTATGGCTAAACTTCTCTCTCTATTGTGAACAGCTGAGAATGGATTTATATGGTTTTTGGATTGTCTTGGAATGAACTTCACTGCGGATGTGGATATGTGAGGTTGCATTGGGCAAACCATCGTGTTGTTTGTTGTGTATTGGTATTTCTGAGAAATCAAGGCAAGTGGTTTAATGTGGGGAATTTCTGAAGAGAGGAAGTTCAAGGAGCTTGTCCTTATTTGTATGGCATTTGTCGAGGGGAATATTATATGCTTTGTGGGCCGGCTGCTCCAAAGTCCAAAGGTCAGAAAGCATTTAGTAACAGAGATTGGAATCTTGAAAAGAAAAAAACAATTCTCCAGAGTCCAAAGATTACTGGTAGTGAGAGAATTTGTGACGGAAATTGGAATCTCGCAAATGATTTAAAAAAGAAATGTCTGGGAACTGTTAAACAAGCTGATTCTTAGATTACCTCATCTGTTTCTCATTGATATGTGGCATTGTTCTGGGCCTATATCACTAAAGGAACCAGTTTCAAATTAGGGGTTGCAACTTTAATTGTAGAATAAGATTGCCACACACTACACGGTCCCGACTGATTAGCCTGGTCCATCTGGGGAAATTGCTTGCCAAGTTGGATCAGGCTACGGCTAATAAAGAAACCAAAAATAATAAATATGGAGAATTGGGATGATTCCAGAATCCTCAAACCATAATCGTCCACCCCTCATCCTGATTTGGGTCAGCGATTTTAAATTCACTAAGCGGATGTGGTCCTACCCCAATAGTGTATTTTATACCTTGAACAGTCTTACTCTTGTTTATAATAGTAATAGTAATAGTAATAGTAATAGTAATAGTAATAGTAATAGTAATACTATTACTATATTACTATTACTATTACTAGTAATAGTAATAGTAATAGTAATAATTAATAGGAAAAAGTTTAAATTGAGCCAAAACTCCAAACAATCAAATTAGAGCTCTTCTCAAAACTTCCACTAGAAGATATTGTTTTGATGCCCAAATATCCTCACATGCATGGACATGAGAAAAAAATGGATTTCAAGTTTTGGAAATAGTGTATCTTGTAACACATTTTTGGACCGTCCATTTTCAAAATTTTCAAGTTTTCATAGATCTGCTTGATCTACATTATTTTTTAAGCTTTAAATTTTATAATTAAAAATATAAATATATTTAAAGCTTTGACAAAGATTTCCAGTATTAAAACCACATTTCTCGGTACTATTTAAAGGTGCGCTCTACTTTGATTGTTTAGAACCTCGGCTTTATACAAACCGCACCCATAATAATAATCTCTACGCTAAGAGGGAATTTATGAGGCTTGTTCGATCCCATGCTTGACTCTAGGAACTAAAACAAAAGTCAGAAATTGAGGAGGATGACATGTGTGCTTTTGTGTGCAGCAACGACACTCCCTCGTTCAGAGAGCGCCTATTCTTAAATATGAGCAATGATTTCATGCAATGACTGTATCGCAACGGCATTTTTAGAAAATCTTTTTTGGAGTATTTGTATGACCCAAAATTTTGCACACACACTCTCTTCATCATAATAATCAATCCCCGCCTAAAAAAAAAGTTCAATTTGAACTTTAGATATAGTCAAAATAAGTCCCCTCCAAAAACAAATATAGACCGTTCATTTGGTGAATTTCAATGTCTTAGCTTTTATAAGTTCAAAATCATTTTTTTCTTTTTTCACATTATTCATCTAATGGTAATAAAGCCATCTAAAAAAATTGAAAATAAAAAAATCCTTCTAAAGCTTAGATCTAAGCATCTCACCAAAATGAACTGCCTATGTTAATTGGGCTAAAAAAATACTTTCTAGATTATGTTTTCAAGTTTTTTTTTTTTGTGATTATTCATTAGAATGAAAAGAATATATATTTCAAAATTTGGATCAAACAAATGGTCATAACATGATTTTTGAAAGTTGTTACATCATATTACTATACAACCGTTGCATGAAATCATTGCTTCTTAAATATATATTTCATTGGCTTAGTATCGAAAATAAATATATATTTCATTGGCTTAGTATCGAAAATACACGCTCAGAGGTTAATGTTTTATAATGTTCCAAAAAAAAAAAAAGCCAACGTCTAATGCATGCGTAACACCTAACCAGCTTGATGACAGACTTCCAATGGAAACCATGGTTTACGTGACTCTTTGATTGTTCTCTGTTGTAATGTATTCTAGCCCCAAACATGATTGTGTGTTGATTAGAATTAATATTACTTAGGCTTCAGCTCAGTGATAAACATGCCAGTTTAGAGAGGTAAAGAGGAATGCTTTATACCTCGGGGGACGATGTAGAAATATGTCTCTGGACACCTGGAACAATTTTCCTTTAATATATGATACGACAGCAGTTACATTTGGTTTTAAAGTTCTAAAAGAAATTTTATATCTGTGCACTCAGTTAATCCTTCTTTCTCAGATATATTACTCGACATACCGTGTACAAATCTATCATTTAAACAAAAAAATAGAAATATATATTCAAGAGAATTATTCTTCCATTTTCCGTCCCACATATTATCTGATACCGTTATAAAGACGACCAGCCCCTACTGTACCCATTCTCTTGAAGCTACGAATTCGATGGTAATAGAACTGGTTTTTGAAGGAGAGAAAAAGGCTTCCATTCATGCAAGAGCTCTGAATTTTTGGATAGGAGCTAATATAGTTTAGAGCAATAAATCTGCTAGGTGGTTTATAAATTTTGAATAGCCAGCATTATAGCACCCCATGGTTCCACAAATTAAATTGGAGGATGAAACCACCCTTTGAAACAAATGCTCCTTTGCGTCTTTTTGTCCACTACTTCACTCTTTTGTAGAATGGAATAAGAGGCTACTCCTTACTGCATGGTGCTCGAGTGTGTGGAAAATGGTCATACATTGTAACACAATGCTATGAAACATCCCGAGTGTGCTACATTACAAAAATGGACAGTTAAGAACTTGACATGAACCATTCATCTTCTCGAGCCATCAATGTCTGCTTGAGCTGGTGCATAGATCATCTCAAACCATCAGTCGAGGCCATGGTTGAGGTCACATTCAGAACACTGTGCTTCATACTCATGGCTCTTATATCACATACATAAAAATAAAAGCAGTGTGTTTGTCATTACCCTTTCCACTTCTTTGAATCACATCAATACTTCTACCATAAAACGTTAAGAGATGAGGCACATCACTGGGTAACACAGTTTTAATTCTTGAATGCCTGGCACAAGAACTGATTTTCCTCATTTGTTTGAAGTAGCATAAACAAAAGCATCAACATAGGCAATATAGTATGGCATAATCCATATGGATCATGGAAAAGCAGTATGCCCATAGGGTCATGACTGTGCCATCAATCAATAGAACGGACCGTGATGGTGGGACAATGCAACGTACATTAGGATTAGTGATCTGGTTGGTGGGACCTGTTCACCCAACATAACCAATCCAACATATTGATGGGATGGTTTTAGTGATATGGATGGTGGGAACTGTTCACCCAACATAACCATCCAACATATTGATGGGATGGTGATGACCCTCATGGCCATGCCATTGCCATTATCATATGGAACATACTATACTTTTAGTAATTGAAAAATTAACTGTACCAAATACATGCAGGTAATCCTATAAGGAATACAATGATATTTGCACATAATTAATTGTTATATATAGCAACAACAGCTAAGAATAATGGAAATACATAATACTACATGCATGCTAATCTCTCTCTCTCTCTCTCTCTCTCTCTTTTTATACATGGCACAGCTATGGAAATTTGTCCATCTCTCATCATCTCTAAGACTGAACAACCATTAAGTCTTCAGCCAAGAGATTCTAATATCCACTGGACATTTGGAGTGAAATGATGCACTCTTATTGGGCGCCATGGTTATTAGTCGTAGATCCTCTCAAGAAATCAAGATGCCCATGTTGAGATTGGTTATTGGGGGGAGATGGCTGAGACACATGGCGAGGAGGGAGTTGGTGAGAGTGCATTTGTTGTTGGGGGAAGAAAGAGTGGTTTGGCTGCTGCAAACCCCTATTGAAGTGGTTCCCATTCACTCCTTGGATTTGACCAGTAGCAACCTTCAACCTTTGCACTTCTTCCCTTAGGGCCTCATTCAGTGCTGGCAAAAAATCCCAATAACAAAGGCCAGCTCATTATAAACAAAAACAAAACATAAAAACACCAACTTCTTCTTAACGGGTATCAGAATAACTAACCAACAAGATCAATGTTAGGCATCCATTAGTTACTCATTCTCCATATTGGTAGACAACATGCTCAATGGTAATGGGCTGATCCCTCTTATGTAGCATGCCATATAAATTAGCTCTTGGTTCTTTTATTTATTGATATGATTGGAGATGAAACACCAAACCAATAGGATGAAACTATCTATGTCATTTCGATAGGAACATACATTAAATTCATTTTATAGAAATAAAAATTAAAGTAACCATGCAAGCACAAATAGCAATTCAGCCATTAAAAAATAACAGAAATCACATAATAGCATTTCTAGGTACTTGTTTAATTATTGAGAAAATGGTAAAGAAGTATACCATCACGGAGATGTGCCTGTTGCTCCATAGCTTGCAGCCGTAGTTTAAGCTCCTTGTTTTCTTGGGTCAGCCCAGTAGTGTCTCGCTGTTCAAAGGAGAAAGTGATCAATTTTTAGTCTGTAATCTTAATTAGGAAGTAAAAATAACATTAACATCATAAAACCATGAAGGCACCAAGATGGAACATGCTTCAGATTGATAGATCATGTGGATACATTTCAGATCATGTATTGAACAAGAAAAGTATAAGTACAAAGCTGGTCATAGGGCAGGTTGGTCCATATTAATTCATTAGCCTACATTCTGTAGCATTTCAATCCAGATCCTACATATGGAAATAAAAAGTTCATGGATCATCCAATGTCTGACTACTTAAAGTAAGCTTGACAAGACTGAATCGAGACACATTCTGTTGCATGTGAATAGGCTTTTGCACCTTGTTATGCAAGCAACTTTTGTCGCCAGGCTTGAGAATGGATTAGGAAGGAAATTTACAGAGATAAAACTCATGCATTCCACACACCGCCCACCTCCCCCCCCCTCCAAATTTATTTTTTCCAGGGGTCCCAGTCTGTCGCATGGATCATTGGCAGCAGTCATTTCAACCTGTGGATTGATAGAAATGAGAGAATATTTGAGGATAACCCTTATCAACCATATCAAAGCCATAGTAATCCTCTGGGCCCAAAATTGCAAAAGCTTCAAAGGTTTCTTGAACACCAACTTCCTTAACAGTTGGCAAAACATCTTGATAGCTAGGCCAGCCTGTATCTCCCAGTCCTCACTTTGGAGACCCCCTGAGACCAATTGCATAAAACTAAATTTTGATGGTTGCTCCCTTGGCAACCCGGGCCCCACCAGGATATGAAGGCATTTTCAGAGACCACAATAGCAACATCCTCCTCTCATACTCCAGTCATATCGGCATTGCTGAAGCTACTGCAGTTGATGCAATTACAGTTTTTAGAGGGAATCAAGAGATACAACCATGATTGGGAGGACTTCTTGGTTGTTGAGGGAGATTCAGAAAATGTTATTGCATGGGCCTCAGGTGTAGCCACGTGCCCATGGTGGAGGAAAGTTGACTATTGTATTAAGTAAAAGAGATATACAATGAAAAGTGTATACAAAAAAATTGGCCACCTAGTTCTTGGGTTCCCTATACAAACAACCTTGAAGGGCCCAAAAAATGCTCTACGGCAGGAGAAAAAGGAGCAAAAGCGGGGATTGCTGGTTTAAAAGGTGCCAGCAGTCCCCAAAGAGGAGCTAAGCCTTGCGCCTTCCCTAACTAGTGCATCGGCAGCTTTATTCGCTTCCCTGAAAATGTGCGTCCAAGTAATTCGCAAAGTGCTGCTAATTTGTGCAACTTCGTCAAAGATGTGGTCGAGTCTCCAGGGACATGGTGCGCGACCAGAGGCCCAAGTGATGACATTACTAGAGTCCCTTTCAACCACCAGGACAAGATTCCAGCTAGGGTTAAGTCTTCGAAACCCCTCTAAAAGAGCAAGAGTCTTTGCAGCTTAGAAGTCCAAAAACCTAATGGACACGGTTTCTATGCGGCCAGCCCGCATATTGTAGAAATGTGGGCTTGGCAATAAATATATTATTAAAAATCTAATTTGATTCTAATTTTTAGAGAATATATAATCTTTAACCTGGAGATCATGAATATGAAAAAAGAAATTGAAAACTAGAAATAATAACTATATTAAGAAAATATTTGGACCGTTAGTTACACTTGTTTTTAGATGGACCACCTATTTGCATCCATCTTTAAGGTGAATGCTTTATACCTCTGGACCGCATATTGTAGTCATGCGGTCCCACCCGCATGAAACAATTTGAATTTCTTTCTTTTCTTTTCTTTTGTCTTTTTTTCTTGAAGGGATGGCACTAGGTGGGCCCCCGGACCACCGAGGCACCCGCCTAGGCGCCCTCCTTCGGCATGCATGCCCAGACCCCACCACGTAGGCGGTTTGTCGGCCAGGCTGCCTAGGCGGCATGGCAGCTAAATTTTCGTTCATTGATCGACGTTTATCTTAGTTTGACCAATGTCAGGTGGTCACCACAGGGAAGCACGTGGGATCCTTAAAGCTCTCAAGTGCAAAAGGTACTGCCAGTTGTGATGGAAGTCGGAGGAGGCGAAGTCTCTGAAAGTTTTGTGATTCTTGGCCCAGAGGTAAACTAGTGTTCTCATTTTATTGATCAAATTTGGAATTGTGGCGCTCTCCCCCCTGAAAATTCTGTTGTTCCTTTCAAATCCAGAAAACCCATATCATGGCAGCTATCAAGGCCCTACTGGGGAGATAGCCAGACCTAGGCCAAGGGGTGTGGAGGTAGGCTGTGACTAGTTGGGAGATCGATAGTGGGGCGACCCAAGACCAATTAAACATGTAGAGCAAGTCACTCCAAAGGCCAGATGCTCCTGCACAAATGCACATTCGTTTCTTCATGCTCCAAACACCTGGCACATCTGTTAGGTAGAGGGAGGCCCCTTCTTTGGAGTTGATTAACAGTTAGAGCCCTTTCATGAATGGCAACCCAGCAGAATACTTGGATCTATAGTGGGATGAGGGAGACTCATGCTTTGGCAGCAATAGAGGGAATGACTGGAAGGGTGGGTGGCAAGGGCAAGATAGAAGGAAGGCACCAAAATGGAGCCGGGGACCAAGGAATTTTTCAGCCCCGTATACATATACATATATATAAAGGCAATCACAGGTCAAAAGTACTAGCTTCTTCTTCATAGGGTCAGTGGAGGACAAGGGCATCGCTTTCTTCAGGCAAAGCCAAGCAAATCACCTTATCGAGAATGAAATCACAGGTCAAGGATACCAGCTTCTCCTCAAAAAGGTAGGTTGAGATGTAGGGCTTCATTGCAGCATCGCCCTCAACGGAGCTTTATTTATAGAGGAGAAGGGGAGAGGCAATGAGCTCCCATTCATAAAGCCCAATGGCCGCTTATTGGGGGAGGAATCTCATTGGTTGAGCACATGTGTCCTTTGGAGATGTGGCTTCTCCTCATTGACATCTCTCTCTCTTATTGGCAGGCGATTGACCCTCACACTTTTGCTTTCTTTTTTCTTTTTTTTTTTTGGGGAGAAATTCACACTCTAGCTTTTTCCTGGCCCATGAGCAAGGAGTGCCTCTTATCGATAGGCGAATGTGTTTTATTCCTCTTTATCTTCTCTTATTGGTGAATGGGGCACTACATAACTCTGCCATGGCTGGCCCTAAGCCAGTAATGCCGGTCCTAAGCCCAAGTAAAGGAGGAGGGTTGTGTTAGGTAGGGTAGCCAACGTAAAACTTTATCAAATCTTGTCATGAATCCTAAACCCATGAGCAGAATGGCAGCACAGGATTCATGTAGCTGACTTCAAATAGTTGGAATAAGGCTTAGATGATGATGATGATTGGTGAATGGGCCACACAGGGACTATGACACTAGAAAATGTCCTGTAATAATCTTGTAAGGATTATTGAGGGATGGTGCTCCATAGCCATGTGAGAACTATGCTTGCAAAGAATGATTGGCCCCTTGCAATGTCTTTTAAGGACCATTGAAGGCGAACGCTTCATACTCATTTGACTAATCAACATATGTATTTCTCTCCCTAGAGGAGTATGAACCCCACAAGGTATCAAGATTAAATGGCGAGAGGAGACACACACACACTCTCCATTTCTCACTTAGGCAGTGAGCTCTAATATCTAGAAAGAGAGTGGGGAATGGGCCCCAATTATAGTGAGAAAACCCCAAGTTAGCTAGAAAGGGAGCGTAAATTCTGCATCCCATTCAGTTATGTTGCAGAGAGGAAGTGGGGCAAGGACCCTATCCTGCAGGAAGAGAAGTTGGGCAAGGGCCCCATCGCTAAGGAAAGAAAATGGAGTTGGACCCCATCCTATGAAGAGAGAACATGGGGCATAGTCCCCATCTTCTAGAGAGAGTGTATCCAGGCCCCTAAGGGAAGGATCAGAGATCTTTATTTTCTCAGACCCACAACTATCGGCTGAAGTTATGATTCAAATAGGGATATGCAGATTTACATACACTTGTTGTAGGTGCAAGTATATTCTCGTCTCATAAAATAATTCCTATTTCAGAGATTACAAGCTTGAAAGATTTCAAGATAGCATCATATGATGGATATGGGTAAATTACTAGTTGAAAGCTTTAGTTGATGGGGTGGTGGGATAAGTTGTTGCTTCACAAAATCATAGTAAAACTCAGCTCCTCAATTCAAGTATAGGTGTTCAAGGACTAGAAACATGTATCGGATAAGAAAATGAACATGTACCTTTATTAAAATGTAGACTTATGCCATAAAAACGACTCAGAATACAAGATATCAACTTATGTGACAATAAGGGTTTCATGATCTTTGAATGAAACTGAAGAGCGATAACTCAATTCTTTCTGAACAACAATACAGGCCATGGGATTGCAACATTGTCATCACTACACATGACGCAATAGTACAAGGTGAAAATTCACTAGAAAGGTATTTCATGATGATTGCTAGGGTTTGATATAAAAATGGATGCATGACCATGTAATGAAAGAATGATTTAATCTCCCACGGGGATAAATATTGAAAGATGTCGGAGTGCTGCAATGATGTAAACCACCTTTTGTTATTCCAAAGATAGACATCAGTTTGTCATCTTTTCCTTGTTTTCTCTTTTTTGTGAAAGGAATGCCAGACTCAAAGTTATGCCAAAGAGATCTTATGGGATGGAACCAGAGGGGTGTTTCTGTCCGGTGACCTAGTTTAGGGATCTTACTTGGTCAGATGGTTCTTGCGAATATTAGGTAAACATACTCAATAGTATACATGCTAATTTGCACGAACACATGATCGGATTGTAAAGATTACAGCTGCAAAAGGAGTCCCAATAATTTAAATCAGATTTTAATACTCCTTGATTAACCACCACACTAGCCTCAGCATGATCCTTTCAAATTCATGGAGATGGCCATGTTTAAAGCATAAGCTAGCACATAAATTTTTTAGTTCCTCAGTTGTCACAAAGTTTCACAAGCCAAGAACACCCATCCTGCTCATAGACTGAACGCTGATATAA